AACACAGCCAAGACAAGCTACTTTGTATAGACCAAAGGTCACATTTATGTTATTTGATATGGTAACATGAGTGCACGTGAGCCACGTCGTTGTAACTTCTGTATTTTCAGCTAGGCATGGGTGAAAGGTCAATATAATAAAAATAATAAATATATAAAAGTGTATAATGTTATGAGATTTAAACTATTTCGTCTGAACATTCATGCTTTCGTGTTATAATCTGTGTTCATTCTAGAATGCAAGAGGCATAATTTATGTTTATTTCCTAATTTTTTATGGTGGTTGCGAGATCGGTCAAATTTACCGAACCCATACAGAGCTTAATTACTGAAAATAACAGATAAAAATATAAAGTTTTTTCTGAAGAAACATTTGATAACAATCTGGACATTATAAAGATTTCGCATGAGAAATATGAAAATTTTCTAATGCATAAAAGTATATTTAATCTTAAAATGAAAATTTATTTGAATGTTAGATAGGCAACACGAGAAAAGAAAAGCATGACAAAAACATTGCTTTACAAACCTTAAGACTTAATAAAAAAAATTTATATTTTGTGTACGAAAGCATTGTAATGTGTATTGTTAATGCACCAAATTTTGTTAACATTCGATTACTAACTTAAAAAGTTATAGCATGAAAACTATAACAAGAACAGAATGGTTACGAGATCGATCCCAGGGACAGAGCCCATCCTGAAAGAGTTAATTGGAGTCTAACCTATCTTATCATCATCTTTTCCTTATGTTCTATCATCCTTTTATCTTCAGAATAAAGAACTATCAGTGGCCTTTATCTTGTCAATCCTTTGTATAATATTGTAAACTGCAGAAAGGTCACTCAGTATCCTGTTTTTTTCAATAGAAATAAGTTGAGAGGTCTTAATCTTTCTGCATAAGATAACCCTTTCATCCTTTAAATCAGCGGTTTCCAAACTGTGGGGTGTTCTCCAATGGTGAGCATGGTCTTTTGCCAGGAGAATGCAAAAATAACAATGACAGAAGCAGAAAAAATTTAAAAACAGTTTTTTTAATACTTTAAATTTTCCTGCCAATACTTAAGAAAACATTGATTAAAGAGAGGCAAAGAAATTACTGTATTTGCTGTTATCACTTGTGAAAATTATTCAGTATCAGGGAGAGGGGGGTTGAGAGAGATAACAGGTTTATACCTGGCACCCAATAGATCCAACAATGGATCCAAACTTTGATCGTCAAAATATATATCATCCGACGATGATATGCCAGGGCATGTTGTTCAAATAAATGAGGAGGGAGGCATAGTGACACTCTCATGTAATTGTGTTACAAACCTCCCTTCATGCACAGCACTATCAGGAGGAGGAGGAAAACTTAGTAAAACCCTTGAGAACGATCGAACAGAGCAGGGTAGACTCAAAAGCAACTAGTTGCATCTCCAAAACATGTGCAACTAACTGCAGAAAAAAAGGGGCAGAAGGTGGCTGATCAGATAAGTCCTCCAGAGAGGAAGCTCTAGTGAAAGAAGGAGCAAGAAACAGGTAGTCTAAGTTCTTCCCAGAATATCCCATTTCAGAATGAAAATTCAGATCAGCACCTCTGAAGAGATACCCCCGGGCCACATGAAGACCAGATCTCATCCAAAATCAGGTACGGACAACTTCCAAGGAGAGTGGCTCACCCCCGACTGCTGACCACTACTAGATAACAAACGAGGAATAGGCTGAGAAGCCTCCATGCTTAAAACCATTACACAGGAATTCATATCCAATTTTTTTTTCTCGTAATTTATTTGTAGGAAAAAAGAAAAAAATTCAACAAAATATATCTCTGGATATATAAACAAAGAATTCCCAATTATTAGAAAGAAAAACTAAGAAATCATAAAACGTTAGTCTGAATGCTCGAGCTTTGTCGAGAAAAAGTGATTTTATTGTCTGCATACAGTGCTTATTTACAGTACCTGCATAGAAGGTTAGTGAGGGCCGGCGTAAAGTTTTGCAAATTAGATATTGCTGAGGGCGGTCGAGTGGGGTATATAGACTGGAGCAAGCGAACAAAGCATTAGATGGCAAAGATGAAGATCGAGAAATAGCTATCGGTGTCAGCGGAGGTAAGTATGTTTGGAAATACATTTTCAGTTTAGGAAAATGATAATCTTTCTTACATAACAAGACAAAATGTACAGTATTCCAAGTCAGACTTGTAATAATTATATTTAACCATATTGATACGAGTAGCTAAGGGTCAGAGTGCATATCATCACATTTGTAGA